CCTGGCCACAGCCGTCAACTGGTCTTCCAGTGTCAGCCGTGGATCCAGGAGGACACCCAGATTGCGTACCCTCTCTGAGGGAGCCAAAGTTTCGCCCCCTATAGTCAGCGATGGAGTCAGCTGACCATACCTGGGAGCCGGCAACCACAGCCACTCAGTCTTGGAAGGGTTGAGCCTGAGTCTGTTTCTCCCCATCCAGCTGCGGACCCCTGTATTAAACTATAATTTAATTGTGGGGGGTTTTTTCATTTTCATTTTTTTTTCATTTTCATAAAACATATAAGGAACGGTTGCTGGAATTGGGTGTATCTAGTTTAATGAAGAGAAGGATGAGGGGGGACATGATAGCCATGTTCCAATATCTCAGGGGCTGCCCCAAAGAAGAGGGAGTCAAGCTATTCTCCAAAGCGCCTGAAGGCAGGACAAGAAGCAACGGATGGAAACTAACCAAAGATAGAAGCAACCTAGAACTAAGGAGAAACTTCCTGACATTTAGAACAATTAACCAGTGGAACAACCTGCCTCCAGAAGCGGTGAATGCTCCAACACTGGAAGTTTTTAAGAAGAGACTGGACAACCATTTGTCCGAAATGGTATAGGGTTTCCTGCCTGAGCAGGGGGTTGGACTAGATGACCTCCAAGGTCCCTCCCAACTTTATTATTATTATATTATATTATATTATGTACAGCTACAGACATGTTCTCAGATTATGCAGCATCAACGGCTGTGTAACATTATTGATTCAATTATCCTAAGTTAGCCCTTGAGCAGGCGCAGAGTCAACCCCGTTAAGGTACGTAATAATCTTACCTTTGGCCAGTCTTTCCAGCCTCTTGCCATGCTCTGGAGGTATAGCATACCTGGCGAAGGAAAAAAAAAAAAAGCTCATCAGCAAAATTAAGTCCAGAATCTTTGCTTCCAAACTGATTCATTAGGGATCTGTTGGCAGAAGTTTGCTCTTCTGCCCTTCACAACCCCACCAGTCAGGAGATTTCCCCTATCAAAACATCTCTTCCCTTCTCCATCCATTACTTCAAACACAAACAACAGAATAACACATTTGGAAGGAGATCTTCTAGTCTGCTTGAGCAGGGGGCTGGACTAGAAGACCTCCAAGGTCCCTTTCTATTCTATTCTATTCTATTCTATTCTATTCTATTCTATTCTATTCTATTCTATTCTATTCTATTCTATTCTATTCTATTCCAATCCAATCCAATCCAATCCAATCCAATCCAAATTCTATTTTCTATTGTATTTTCTATTGTATTTTCTATTGTATTCTATTCTAATTCTAATTCTATTTTCTATTCTATTCTTCCATTCCTTAGTCTATTCTATTCTATTCTATTCTATTCTATTCTATTCTATTCTATAGAACACTATAGCAGTGTTCCAATATCTCAGGGGCTGCCCCAAAGAAGAGGGAGTCAAGCTATTTTCCAAAGCGGCTGAAGGCAGGACAAAAAGCAACGGATGGAAACTAACCAAAGATAGAAGCAACCTAGAACTAAGGAGAAACTTCCTGACAGTCAGAACAATTAACCAGTGGAACAACCTGCCTCCAGAAGCTGTGAATGCACCAACACTGGAAGTTGAAGTCCACCAGTCATAAAAGAGCCAAGGTTGCCTACCCATCCCTGCCCTAAGGAAACAACGTCATAAGATACTTCACCAGATTGCCAACTTGGCATGGTGAATGTGTTGATTCCAAATTAAATTCATTAAATGGCTAAAAATAGACGTGGAAATGCATGCTAAACCTCTGGTGGAAATGACATTAAATTTAGGCTCTCAAGAGGTACCATAGGGTTCTTCCTTTGTGCCTGCCTGCTAAAGTGGTAGTAGATGGATCAAAGTCAGGGGTAGGCAACCTTGGCTCTTTTATGACTCGTGGACTTCAACTTCCAGAATTCCTGAGCCAACATGGCTCAGCTTGGAAACCTCTCCCTATCCCCTCAGCGTGGCTGGCTCAGGAATTCTGGGAGTTGAAGTCCACGAGTCTTAAAAGAGCCAAGGTTGCCTACCCCTGATCTAGCACCACCAAGCTCAGATGTAACATCATCAGGGCTACAAGGAAGTGGGATTTGTGGAAAGAGGAGGAGGAGGAGGAGACTGAGGAGTCCTTGGTGCTTTCTGAACTTGATTGTATCTGATGATGTTACCTAGTTTGGTCATGAAACGTCTGCAAGAAAATAAACAAGCTCAGAGAGAGGACCGGGCACCCCACACACAGGTGCTTGATAAGGAAAGCCCATTTGTGCACAGATAGTCTTTGCTTAGTGACCATTTGTTCAGCAACCATGACAGTGTTGCTGAGTGGATAGTAGTTACAACTGGTCCTCAAAGTCTCGGCTGTTGCAGCACCCTCACAGTCATGTGATCAAAGTTTGGGTGCTTGCAGACAGCGAAGGCGACAATTTCTACAGAGGCAGTGATTACCACACATGGTTTTCCAAATGCTAGTGGATTGTGTTTTCATCACTCTTCATGTCCACGCTTCCTCAGGAGGGTGGACCCAAATTTAGTTTATATAATAATAATAATAATAATAATAATAATAATAATAATAATAATAATAATAATAATAATAATAATAATAATCATCATCATCATCATCATCATCATCATCATCATCATCATCATCAGTGCTAGATAGATCAGAGCTAAAAGGGAGGGTGGACTCTGCTCTAAACTCCCACGCTCAGAAAGCACCAAAGATAACCAGCTCCTCCTTCCCCTCGTCTCCTCAAACCCCACTCTCTTCTAGCACTGGTGATGTTACCTAGTTGGGTCATGAAACGTCTGCAAGAAAACAATCTCAGAGAGCACCCACAGTTCAAACATTCTCTTCTATCAGTAAGTTCCTGTGTTTCCCATAGGAGAAGCCTCTTTCACTGACAGCTACAAAGGCTCTTGAAACAAAGCTTTTTTTTTAAAAAAAGGATATATATCCCAAAATTTCTATAGATCAAAGTGATGTTTTTCCTCTGAAATAGTCAGCAAGCTCCTGCTCTAATGTTAAGTGGGAGAGATCCAGAAAGAAAATATGGACCAAAAAAAAAAAGGAGTGCTGGAACATTACCTGTTCACCTCTCTCTCTGTTTTGTTTGCCTTGAATTTTAATTTTTTAAAGCCATTTTTCACTAACATAAAACAAACAAAGCAATGAATAAATTAATTCAGATCCAAGCGCGCCTTCTGTTGGATTAGCGAGAAACGAGCTATCCTATTTCTTCTGGGAACGTGTTGAAAGTTTGGGGGCTCCTTCGCGGTTAGGAGGCAGTCAACGGTGAATGCCACTCTTTGGATTACCATGCTATTTTTTTTTACTTAATTACCGCCTGTCATTGGGAGTTAGACAGATAAGATTAATTGAATTGTGAGGCTGTTGAAGTTAATATTGTTGGGACGTGGCTACCCCGGGTTATCGTGGTTTGCAGAAGTACCTAACTGAATTCTGGAGAGATGTCGGCTTGGCTAGGAAGCCAGCAAACTGCATTAATGAGCTTAAAATCAGGAAAGGGAGGGGGAAAAAAAGAATTGCAGTCTTGCCAGTCATGCTAAGAACCACCAGCATACTCTTGCTCATAAAAGGGGGGGGGGACACATTACTTTCTTTCAAATTAATGAATTATGAATTCATTAGACCCAATCGGAGCTCAAGAAAAAAGACAAAAGCCCAAGAAATTAATTCTAGCCCGCCAATAGGAGCAAAAACTACAAAGCTCTGGTTGAAAGATGCCAGGCAAAGGAAGACCCATCCTCCCCATCCCGGCCACGTTCAAACGGAAACGCCGGCGGCAGGAGACGCCACAAGTTTTGGCTGAACCACAAAGCAAAACTCCCAAGACGCATCATCTCCTTTCCCCTTTCGGAAATATTGGGAGGCACAGAAAGGTCCCAGAACTTTGGCCAAAGGCCTTGTTGAAACCATAGAGGGCAGGTCGGGTCAATGGCGACAGCCAATGAAGAGTGACTTTCATGACGGAAGACCGGAACGATCCTTCTCCTGTTCAGGAAATTAGGGAAGTCTTAATTATGCTCCCAGGCTTTGGGGACAAGGTGATCGTGGAGTCCTCTTTTTGTTTATTTTTCTCTTTGGTCAATTTACTCTTTTACTCTTTACTACTTTTACAAATAACTCAAGAAATCAAGCATAGCCAATACACCTTCCTCCTCCTCCTCCTCCTCCTCCTCCTCCTCTTTTTCCCACAAGGTCATCCAGCCGGCTTTCATGGCTAAAGTGGGACTTGAACTCACAGTCTCTTGCTTTCTAGGCTGGTGCCTTAACCACCAGACCAGGGGTCTTCAAACTTGGCCCTTTGATGACTTGTGGACTTCCACTCCCAGAATGCCTCAGCCAGGCACGCTGGCTGAGGAATTCTGGAAGTTGAAGTCCACAAGGCATAAAAGGGCCAAGTTTGAAGACCCCTGGAATAGAATAATAGACTAATGCATAGAGTTAGAGCAGGGATCTTTAAACTTGGCCCTTTTATGACTTGTGGACTTCCACTCCCAGAATGCCTCAGCCAGGCACGCTGGCTGAGGAATTCTGGGAGCTGAAGTCCACAAGTCACAAAAGGGCCACATCTGAAGACCCCTGAGCTAGATGTCTCCCAGCGTCTGATGCACAGTGGCGGGTTATCTTCAAGCCTTAGCAAAAAGGTACTGATTTCTTAAAAACCTATTTTTCCATCTAAAGGGAAAAAGAGGCCTCATGAATGAAAAACATCCATTCTTCAATATTGTGTGTGTGTGTGTGTGTAGCCAACGAACCCTGGAGAAAGACCTTGAGATGCGCGCCAACCGTGCCAGTTGACCCGCACATCATACCACCTGTGGATTGGCTGAAATTCAAATGGACATTACGACTTAACTATACTGTGTGCGGGATTTTCTCCTGATCTCGCCTTGACTTCCTTACTGTCACTGACCCCCTAATAAAAGTGTCCTTTTGAGACAAGGCCTGTTTCAAGAGTTCTGCTGCCTTGGGTGGTCAGTTGAAGTGGGCCCTTACGGACTGCCTGTAATCTATATTCCAATGTTATGCTACATGCTTGATGTATAGACAAAATCCAGGCTGCCTGCTAGGCCCACAGAAATCCTTAGCTGAAGCTTTGTCTCCAAACTCCGCCGCACAAGGACACCTGACATCGCACTAATTCTGCCCCGATGACAGAAAAAAGGACTTAGGCTTTCCAAAGGCAAACAAGCCAGCATTTTAGACCCGTTGGGACCAACTCATCTCTCCAGCGCTTGCTCTTCTTACGTCTTGCCAAACACTAAGTGAAGCATTTTGGCTCGACCGGGCTGGAAGAGACAGCTCCAACAGGCCTGCCTTCAGAGGAAAAAAAGTCAAAGATGTCAAGGAAGATCAAACTGTTCACTCATTAACCTCAAGGAGAGGTGTCAAAACAAGAGAGATGTTCAAATCGGCCAGAAATATTCTTTCTGCCAGTTAGTCTGAAATCCCCCGTGTTTGGGAGGGAGGGAGGGAGGGAGGGGGAAAAAAAAAAGAAAAAGAGGTTTATGAAGGCAGCAGAGTTAACACAGATATTCTCTTTTTGTTAAAAGGAGGAGACACATAAGAGTAATTATCAAACCTCCTGGCTTTACGTTTCTAAAAGCTTAAGGGAAACGGGCATTTGCCAATTTTCCAAGGCAAAAATACTCCGAGTAATCTGGAAAAGGGAAAGCAAATAAGAGCTACAGAACTGAGAAATTGGTGTGAACATGTGGATGCACTGGTGGAAATGGGGAGGGCAATTACATTACATGAACTGTGCATATGCACTAGAAAACCGGGGTATACATTTTTAGAGAAAAACCAACTCAAGTTTAATTTCCTGCTGAGCGT